TTGACGAAATCGAACCGCCACTATAAGAATAGCATATTGTTAAGGAATGTGTATTTATTCACTTCTCTGGTTTCCCCTTTCTCTAATGCTTCCTTTTCGTCAGATCCCCCACCGCTTGCCAGAAGACTGTACGTTCAATTCCTATGCAGAGATCGATCCAGAATTGGCGTAGCGCCCATTAGCCTAGAAGGTCTTTGGATGGAACGGCAAATGGACCAATGAGGCATTTGGTTCTTACACCGATTGGTGCATTTCTTCTTCCTCCACCTTGGCATCAAGGGAATGCATGCATGCAAGGGCGACGGATGTGCAGATCGATGAAGCACAGTTGCCTGGCCGTGTATGCAGACTGGCCCATCGAGATGGTCAACTGGTTCTTCTTCTTGGCATGACAGGCTCTTCTTCATGGTCTTGGTTACCGGTTCCCGCCTGGTTGGTATCCATTTGCCCAATGAGACGATGCGTTCGCCCTACCTCCTCTCGAATTCATGTCTGTCCGTCACTGGCACACACCGCCATGCCAACCCCGAATACGCACCCAACCCAGAGCTAAGCTTGTCGGCATAGTCCCCGAGCCGACTAGACGTCCCTCCTTGTTCGGCCACATGGTCGTTGGCTTGACCACAATCCCCTACAGGCTGCCCGATGAGGGCCAAGTTCACGTATCCCTCGTCTTTCGCCAACATCATGTGGCTGACGCTGACATTCAGCGAGGACGGGGTAGGATCTTCGCGACAGCCTAGCATCAGGAGCAGGCCAGCAGACACACAAATAACACATGCATAGACGGCCAATCAGTGCGCACATCAACAACCAGGCTGTACATGTGTCTGGGCCCTGTTTCGTGTCGTCAGGGCAGCCATGAAGTTGCCCTTAGCGCACTGGCGAGGTGGGCTGGCGAGTGTTGGAGAGAGATTTATTTGGGAGAAAAGATCGCAACGCCTACGTGCAATACGTCTACTCTGCCTACTCTTTGGTTGGCTCCCATTTTTAGGGTGCATCTTCGACGTCCTGGCTGGCAGTGTCTAGGTTAACTTTATCAAACACCGGCAAGGACACTTTCGCAAAGGTTTCTCGGATCTTTCGCACGTACTGCCAGACCAGCCATAATGGGAGACGAGGTGAGTTTATGCCAAAACTATGTACCAATTTACCATAATTTCCATGACCTTCAGTACATTATTGCTTTCCAAATGCTTCCTAACCATCTCACTGGCCTCCGCCGCCTCTCAGGGGGGTTCAACCCGGACTCTTTCGTGGTGTTAGGGCTCTACCAATTTCGGTACCTCATTTAGGCCCTCCACAGGTGCAGAATAATCGCACCTATACGACTACGATGGAATGAACAGTGCTAGCAGTTGTGGGTATACACTATATGAGGATGTTTAGAGTCTGAATTAAGCAACTTCAATGAGAAGATATGAAGACCAAGATGTTGTGGCCTCTGGTATGGTTGCAGTCTCCTTTCGATGCATAGAAGTGGGTTGACCTCGTTGCCGCAACTTGGTCTTGTTGTCAGGGCGACTTAGTAGGACACACCTAGTCCGAAGTCGTCTGCCATAGTAGTTGTCATGATTCGCAGCATCAGACAGTGGACTTGGTACATTCTCAAACGTTTCGCCGACATCGTAGTCGGCATCATCAGTGAGTTTTGCCATTCGCCGCCAGGACAGGAAGAAGAGTGATAGTGTAACCGTTTTTCGAGGGATTGACTTCACTTGTCTCTTTTGACTTGTACGTAACTTGGTGCGGCGAATGGCAAAAGTCCCTGATGATGCCGACTACGATGTCGGCGAAACGTTTGCGAATGTACCAAGTCCACTGTCTGATGCTGGGGCTCATGACAACTACTATGACAGACGACTTCGGACTAGGTGCGTCCTACTAAGTCACCCTGATAACAATACCAAGTTGCGACAAAGAGGTCAAACCACTCCAATGAGAAGGCTTTAGCATCAGTTGACATTTTTCTATAGGGGTGCTTGCACATGACTAAGAATGGAGATTACCTGAACTGACAGTAACGTTTACCAACTACTTCCTAACTATACTTAATTATCCATTATCGTGATGTTTAGTCGGTTAAGTTTGCCCTGGATTAAAAAATCTTGAAATGTTTTTTTTGCATCGTTTTAATTTTACCTCCTCATGGAACAGAAGAAAAAAGAAAAGAAGGAGAAGAAAGAGAAGA